GTAATCAGGATCTCTTCCTCTTGCCTCAGGCACCAAACTTGATTGATCCTTCTTTGCCTGAAATGTTGGTTTTTTCTTATCATGTGGTTTTTAAATCAGTTTTGATTTTAAGATAGTTTATCAATACACAAGACTCTGGACTTGATCCTCATCACCTCCACCAAGACAAATAAAAAGCTGTGCATTATAGGTTATTTATATTGATGAATGGGGTTTTTGGTGCCTACTCAAATCTTGCATGTCCCGTCCCCCCCCCGTCCCCCCGCCCCGACCTTGCTGGGCTTATAGTAGTGTAACAGGTACAGGTTTCATGGACTCCACCCCTACTCCAGATGCTGGAACTCCAAATCCCATGAGTACCAAGAAGAAGCACGCCAGGATGTGAGGGCGGAGCTGAGCAGCCAGGTTGGGATAAAACCGGACTTGTGGGCTCTGGGGGGACCTGGTGGTTCGCAGCTGATCGTTTTTTGGCGCTCAATCGGTTTGCAGCGTGCCGGTGGGGTCCAAGTCAGCAGAACTGGTAGGACATCCTAGTTAACCTGTGTTTCTCTCCCTCTTTCCCTGGGTTATTCCTTTACCTTTCTCCTTATAAATAAATCCATTATTTAACCTTTTGAGTGTGTCCATAATACGACTGAATCGTAAGCGCACGGGTGAAGACCCACAGACAGGCAACCCAATTCACATTGGGGTGCCCTGTAACAGTAGGGCCTGTGTAAATAGCATGGTATAAACATTACATGGGATAGAGTATCTTCCTTATATTACATAAAGGCTACCTCTGGACTAACAGGTTTTACCTCATTGGATTTTTTGGCTGTAGTTTTATCTTTAGTGACTTCAGCTCTGAATTTGTTGTCTAGAACATAGACTTCCAGGCAGCCTATATGAAGTGAAATGTAAAGGCTAGAACCTTCTTGGAAAATTGTGCAGGAAGGTACTTAGGGAGACTGGCATGTTAGAACAAGATTGTTAGAGCTCCTTGCCTGCCCCTACTCCTCAATCCTCAAATTGTTACAGGGCAGGGAGAGATGCACCCCTGAGCCCCCAAACCTGCCTACTCTAAATAGGTTTTGCCATCCACTACATCAAGACAAGCCATAAGAACTTTAATGGAAAGGAACTTTAATACAATGAGAGTGCAATACAGAAAAGACAAAGAATATAGTTTCTAAATCAAACACCCAAAGTTCCCCATCCCCTTGTGGGTAAAAGTCCACCCAAAAAGGGATTGGCCCAAAGCAAGGCCCAAATGCCTGCCACAAGCCTAAAGCACTTTCTGGCTGGGACCCATGAAAAAGGGTCAGAAATAGCCAGATAAGTCCGAGAGGGAAAGAGCAAAATCAAGATAAACGCTGCTATGGTGAAACTTCCCACGGGTCTCTCACCCACATCTGTTTCAACCAGTTCAGGAACAAGAAGCAAGCACATTTTCTTAATATGTCTGTCTCTCTGCTCCATGTGCCTCCCTCCCGTCTCCTTCTGGCTCTTCATCTTGCTTCCTTCTCCCTCAGACTCCTCCTCCAGATTCCTCTCTTTGCTCAGCTCCACCCTCCTCCTGGGCTGGGCAGGGAACCTGGACCCTCCCCTTTTCCTGGGTCCACCCTGTTACAAAATCAGTCTACCAGCTAAGAAAACGGACAATATCAGGGATGGTTGAAAATCGGGATTAAGTGGGAACTTGGAGGGGGAGAGTAAAGTGAACTACTGAAACCATGCAAACCTGGGGGATGTCACATGAGTCCTCACCATTGCACTCAAAATTACAAGACGCGACTCAGGCTCAGAGTGCAACCTGAGTTTATTAACAAAGGGGAAATCAAGAAAAAAGAGTTTCTAAGGCCACAAATGGCCAGCTGTCCTATCCCAGACAGTGTCTGCAGTCGTCTAAATCAAAAGCTGCTTGTGCTAGATGTTGTCCCTTCAACAGAGCCTGGAACTGGGGCACACTGATAAGTGGTAGACAAGGACCCAACTCGTGGCAGCAGCTGGTGGTAGTCAGAGGTGGTGCTGGGAGGCAGTGCTGCAGCAGCCAGCAGCAGCAGTCTGAAGGCTGTGTTAGACAGCTGTTGCTGAACACAACAGTACCAGAACGTGATGCTGGAAGTGCTGGGGGTAGGGGCAGTGCTAAGGGGCTGGGCCAGAGGGTCAAAAGTGGTGTGTTGCTCTTGGAGATGGCCAGGCAACTCTTAGAGGTGGCCAGGCAGAAACCAGAAGTGCTGGTCAGTGCCAGTTAGCAGACAGTGATATGGAGGATCAGGTACCAGTGTTCCAGCTCTTTAGAAATGTTAGGCCTAAGTCAGTGGCATCTATCAGCAGATGATGTGGAAACAGAGGAGGAGGCAGGAGCAATGATTAATCAGGCATGTGGTGGTGGCAGAGAATGAGGCACCAGTAGTCAGGATGTGGCAGTCAGGCAATGGTCTGAAGCAGAGATCAGATGAGAAGGTCTCAATGAGTCTCTCTGAAGCAAAAGCTCTTGATGATTAAGAATTTCTGAGAAAGTCTAATGGTCTGTAATGGTCTGGAGCCCTACTTATATCCCCTTCAGATTACCCACCTATTTTTTTTCACCTTTCTTTAAAAATTTATTTATTTATGCATACAAGAACTTGGGTACAGGCCGAGGTGCGGAGGTGAGGTGGGAGAGGTGGTGAGAGGATTCACCAGACACAGAGTGGGGAACAGAACAGGCAGATTGACTGAAATGCACTGCTAAGGAGAACAGCAGGCGAGACAGGATAAGTCTGCTGTGCCATGTGGGCCACTTCCCTGGTCCGGGATCAAACTTGTCTGCAGTGGCTGCAGATAGCTTCGTAGTGCTTCACTTTAGCCTCTTGTGCCACCAGGTAGGCCCAAGGTGCCCACCTTTCAAACCAGATTGGCCCATTTTCAACATCTGTGCAGGATCCAAACCCCAAATCTGGCCAATGTGTGAAAACCCTCCCCTGCACAACGTTTACCTAACTCAGGCTGGGGGCACAGCAGGACATGGGAAGCTCTGTGGCAGGTCCAGACCAGGAACTGCAGGGCTCCTATCCCACAACCGTTTAGAAAAAGTCAAGATCTACTATAAACTGAACACACACGACTTAAGGCCTAACATTCCAAGATGGATTCATGTTCACAAAAATACTAGCACAAGCTTTATTAATGACCAAATATTGGAATAAACCAAATAGGTAAATGGAGAAACTATAGTCATGCCCCACCCTGGGGGTCTTGTTCTAAGAGATGTAGTTAAGATTTTGTCCTTGTGTTTACAGTGTTGACAGAAAATGTCTAAGCCACATGAATGATATATTGGCTACATTGTGGTAGTATAATCAGGGCTGAAGGCCAAAAATTGTTATAGATGGTGCCCTCAAGGGGTGAGTGGGGAGACACAGGTGAGAATGAATAGCTACATGTGATATAATCCTGAGCAAGAAAGAATCAGTGAGGTGGAGACTCTAATAGAAAATAAAAGGGAGTGCAAAAGCAATATTCAAGGTCAGCCATTCCTGGGTTTAGTCATTCCTGGACTCAGCCATCCCAGTCCCCACACCAATCTTCCAGACTGCTGTTGCTGGTCTCAAAGGAATGTGCAGAGGCAAAAAACTGCTCAAAACTATTATTGTTGGCCTTTTGTTTGGATCACATGCTTCAGGTATTCAGCGGTGGGAAGACACCATCTTGGCTGCTTTTTTGTTTAGAACTTCTGAACGCTGTGGACTCTAGGGTGAGATAACCGGCCACTTATGGCCTCAGTGACTTTTTGTTAAATAAATCCCATTATTATTCCCTGAACCTGAATGGTCTTACAATTATGCTTCTGGGTGAAGAGCTCAGACAATGCCCAGTACACTATTTGGCTGTGCCTTGGCAGTTTTAATATTCCTTATTGCCTGGTAACAGTATAAGCACACAGTAGAATAACACTCAACGATTAATAAATGCAACGAATTGGGCCCCCCAGTGGCGAAACCGGTTAAAGCACAGCACTATGAAGTTCAGTCAAGTTCAGTCCCCCAGCTGACCCACATGGCGCAGCAGACATCTCCGATCTCGCTTGCTGCTCACCTCAGCAGTGTACTTCGTGGATCTGCCTGTTTTGCTCCCCATTCTGTCTCTGGTGAATTCTCTCAACAGCTACCCCCCATCTGGCCTGTACCCCAGTTCTGTATGCATAAATAAATAAATCTTTAAAAAAATGCAACAAATTGACAAATCTCAAAAACATTTTGTTGAGCAAAAGAATCCAGACACAAAAGTTAATCACGACTCTATTTATATAAAATTCAAGAACAGAAAAATGAATCTATAATGATAGAAATCCACATTGTGGTTGACGGAACTTAAGGAGGGGTGTGGATGACTTGAGGACACAAAACTTTCTGGGTCATGCAAATATCTTGTATCTTCACTGGGCAATAGTCTCTTGGGCGACAATTGTCAAAAATCATAGATCTCTTCAATTATCAATTTTACCTCAGTATAGGTGGGGGGGAGGTTGGCAAATTTTAATACAACAAAGAATAAAATAAACGACAAAACACCCGGGCCTTGGCTTTGTGTTCTAAACCTGCATCGCAGTGTCTGATTCAGACAAGACTCTTCAGCAAATGAGAACCGATGCTTAAGACCACTTCTCATTCACTCCCTGAGCGTCCCTTTCTGCATTGCCGTTGCAAAGTTGCAAACCGTCTTTTCCTTGCCGGAGTCATTCCCACAGTCCTTTCAGAGCCCTCCCTTGAGGGGGCCAGGGGGACTGCGGGCTGATGCCCACTCCCAAGCCCAGAGTTCGGAACCCAACGTAGAGGCCACATTCCATAACGGCAAGACACAGGCCAGTCGCCCGGCTTCGCCGCCAGTACTAAAGATGAAGCCGCCCGCCCAAGGCAAAACCCAGGTCACGTGACGGCGTGCCGGGCTCAGCCCACTCCCGCGCCTACTTTTAGACTGACCAATGAACCCGCGCCATGGGCACGCCCTCTTTCCTTTTTCCACCAATAGTTTCTCAACGCTTCCCGCAAGTTCCAATCACCGCTTCCTTCTCTCTTGAATGAAAAGCCAGAGATCCAGTGAGGGGGTTACAGTCGGACGCCGGAGGCAGGAAGCTCGGTAGCTCGAGTGGGGGCGCGAGACCAATACCCGAGTCGAGCGGCTCTCCTCGAAGCACGCGGAGGCGAACGGGAACCAGGTAGGCGGCGGGGCTGCGGCGCGGGTCCGCAGTGCGGCCTTGGGTCTGCGGACGATGTTGCGGGGAGACGCCGAGGGTTAAGGAGAGCTGAGGGGGGCGGGGTGGCTGGGGTGTCCCGCGCGTGCGGCGGTGGCCGTTGGAGGTCGGGGCGCATGCGCGAGGGGCTGGCCGGCCGTTGGCGCGCGGGCGCGTGGCCCGCTTCCGGGAGGGGCTGTCATGGCGGCCCCCGGCCAAGCAGAGTTCGGGGGAGGTTTCTTCCTGTCGGCGAAGAAGCTGAACCCGTGGGGGGCCTTTGGCGCATGGCGGGTGGAGTGGCTGAGCTCGGAGGGCGAAGGCTAGGTCTGACTAGTTTGTCGGAGAAACCAGGGTTGCAGACGGGTTGGGCTGCTCGGAAAGGAGCCCCCCCACCTCAGTCTCTCTGCTCTGCGTTTAGACGTTCTGGGTATCTGCGATTTGGGGCAAGACAGATCGTCTTTGGAAATAGTCCAGTAGGGAACAAAATTCGAATTCGGAATTCTCCCCGGGGCATTTGAGTGTCACTGAGTAGCGTTGGTGCTTTCCAGGTTCACGCTTCTTGGCTTGGGCCGGCAACAGCCACCCCTTCAGAAGGGAACAGAGCCCGCCAAATCCGCTCTTGACCTAATTGTCTAGCTTTAGATCTATCCTGTCTGGCCACTTACAAAATGTTGTGCCCCAAAATCTGTCCCCAAGTCTCTTCATGAAACAAAGAGACGGGGATTGACCTTATTTCTTTTATGTTCACCTTTGCAGTCACCGAGATTTGAAGCCCTGAGCAGATGACACAGAATACCCAGAAAAGATGGTCCCACCCTATGGTGGTCCACCTTCTTCTCTATTTAATGCCTCCACCCTAGTTAATCTTAATCCTCTTTTTTTTTTTAAGTGAATGTCTTCTACCCACCCACCATCATATTACAGTAGTTATTATTTCTTGGGCAAATCCTCGTTGAGTCACTCAACTAGAATAAATAGCCACAGGTTCTTGGCTGCTTAGCAAATAAAGTGAAAACTCTAGATCTAACCAGCCTTCACCTGAACCAGCCAGATGCTCTCTCCGGCCTCCAAAAGGATGCTTTTTTGGGCTCACTTCTAGCTTCTTGTTCTCCTTGCTGGCTGGGAAAGCGCCCCTTCTCTTTTTTTGCCAGTCATATTTATCATGACTCATGCTGGATGGCCCTTTTCATAATTTGATGAGCATGAAAGCTGGCTTTAGCCCCCAAATTCTGTCATAAGGCCTTGATTCTAGTTCATTCATTCAATCATTACTAGCTTAAGTAATGTATGCCAGCTCCTGTGCTGGGTGCTGGGTTGGGCAAGGGATTGACATGACTGGAGGGGATGCTGGCAGCAAATTCCCTTCTAAAGCAATATGAGACAGGAGGTTTGTGATGGTCCAGGCTCAGGAATAGCAAGTACAATGGTGCTGAGGTGTGTTAGTTGTGTGCAGTTAATGAGGGGTATGGGAGAGTTGAGGGCTGAGCACAGAGGGGCTCAGGTTCTGTACGTCCTGGTAAGCCATAGTGAGGACTCTTATTCTGAGCAGAGTGTAGAGGTTCTCTTTGGCTGCCATGGAGAGTGGACAAAGTAGAGTGGGGGGTTGGAAAATAGGGATGTGGGGGGTTGGAAAATAGGTATTGGTGAGATTATTGGCATTACCCAGGGAAGAGATGATGGCACCCAACATGCCCATTACCTAACTGGTAGCTTAACACAGGAATATATTCAGAAAAATGTGTTTTTGTGGAGATTCTTTCCTTATGTAGACATCATAGAATGTAATTAAACTAAAGTGGTATATTCTTACTACATATCTAGGCTATATGGTAGAACCTGTGAGCATCATGTTTGACTGAAACATCAAATGTTGCATGGCTGTACTGGTACAAGAGAATATTAATCAGCCATGAAATGTGGTTAAGTACTGATACACTGCAAAGTCGGTGAACATTGAAAATATGATATCAGTGAAAGAATCCAGTCACAGTCAGAGTGTATGCTTCCAATAATAAAATAATGCCCAAATCGGCAAATCTGCTGGAGAAGGCACTGCTACCTTCCTCAGGCCCAGGGTACCTCCTTGCAGACCCTGTGGGTCTCCATCCCCACTCATGCCCCCCATTTTACCCTCTTGGAAAGGGAGGGGGCAAGAAAGAACGGTGGCTATTCTTGAGACCAGACTCACCTGTTGGGCCCCTCTGGTGGATTGCCCCAGTTTTGGTTGCCAGAGAGGTGGGCAGTACTGGCCAGCCCAGGGTGAGCACAGGAGGGTTCTCCCCCAACCCTGCATCCTTATCCTTCCACCCCCACACATGCCACCCACCCCAGGAAAAACAACAGGCAAATCCACAGAACAGAAAGTAGATTCGTGCTTGGGGGAGGGGGTAGGCTGATTCATTAAAAGTATAGCATCTTGAGGTGATGAAATGTCCTAAAACTGACAACAATCGCACATGCCTGTGATTACACTGAAAACCACTGAACTATAATTTTAAGTGGTGAATATCTCGATGAAACAATTCTAACTTAACAAAAAAAGCCGATGGCAGCTGGGGCCCACCAAGGAGCAAGAGTGAGAAGTTGCCTGATTGACCTAGAGGTATGTTGATTGATTGGACAGAGAGGGTAGAGAGAAAGGCCACCCTTGAGAGAAAGGGACCCCCTTTTCTGAGATGGGTAAAACAGGCCTTTGTGGAAAAACAGGTTCTGTTCTTGGTGGTGGTTTGAATTCAACATTTAAAAGGGAGCTGTAGAAGAGATAACTAGCTGGGTAACTGCTCTGGAGTCGAGGAGAGAGGTTACTGAGAGACAGTTTGAGAGGCATACACATGGATGTGGTGACAGCTTTGGGGCCAGATGAAGCCAAGAGAGATCACTGACAGCGGGGTCAGAAGCAGCCTCCATTCAGCTCAGGAAGAAGCAGATTGCTGCAGTACTTCTACCCTGAGCTGGAGGCTGGGTGGGGAGGGAGGAAAATGACTCTTCTCAAGTTTGGGTCCCCTGTAACATGGCTTGCACCCAGAAGATGTACTGTGTATGTTGGGTTAAATAAGCCCTGGAGGTAAGCTGAGCTTTGTATTCATTTACCATCTCAGCTTTATTTTTACTGGCCCAGGCCCAAAGGGATGCCTTTTCATAAGAGCACTTAATTATTCCCTTGTGCAGACCACAAATAGCGGAGGAGCAGCAGGGTGGAGCACACCCTGCTCTCGCAAACAGGCTCCCTAGCAGCTCCAGCTCTAGGTCTCAGGGGTCCTTGCTCCATGCAGACCAGGTGGGTTCCTTGGGGAGTGACAAGGAGGAGGCTCCTTTACTAGGGTGGTCTGAGGCAATTCATTGGCCATGAAAGAAGCATTGGTGCCAAGAGCCAGGCACAGCCAGATCCTGATGGTGGCAGTGGGGCACCAAAACTAAGGGTACAGCTTGCGGAGTCTGGCCCAGCCAGGCTGAAGGTGGTGTGGAGTGACAATAGACAGTGACCACTAGAGAGGCCTGGGAGGGCTGTGGGGGGAATTGAAGATTGAGCTTTCATTTGGGCTGGGGGTCAAGAAGGGTGTACCTTTCTGTAGGGAGAGGGAGACAGAGGGGGTGTGGTATAGAGGAAGGTGAGGAGCTGTGGTCACCACAGGCTGAAGCTGGGAGGTGCTGCTCAGTAGAGCTGGGACCTGCTGCAGATCCATCTGCTGTGAGTGGAGCTGGGACTTGCTGCAGACCCATCTGCTATGAGTGGGTTCTCATTTCTGCACTTGTCCCCTTGATCCTGCACTCCCTTCCCAGCACCATGGCAGAACAGGATGTGGAGAATGAGCTTCTGGACTATGAGGAAGATGAAGAGCCCCAGGCGCCTGCAGAGAGCACTCCAGCTCCCCCTAAGAAAGATGTCAAGGGTTCCTACGTCTCCATCCACAGCTCAGGCTTCCGGGACTTTCTGCTGAAGCCGGAGCTCCTGAGGGCCATAGTGGACTGTGGCTTTGAGCACCCATCAGAGGGTATGTATCCTGGCTCCCTTGTGCTAAGCTTTTTTCCTTGCCCTTGTGTGTGTGTGTGTCAGCATCTATGTGAAGCCTGCAGGAGGGAGCGTTGGTTTTTAACCACTTTTACCCTATTATTCTCAGTGCAGCACGAGTGCATTCCTCAGGCCATTCTGGGCATGGATGTCTTGTGCCAGGCCAAGTCAGGGATGGGCAAGACGGCAGTCTTTGTGCTGGCCACCCTGCAGCAGATCGAGCCTGTCAACGGACAGGTAGGTGGGTGGACAGGTTAAAAGCTCTTTTTGTGTGCCCTTTGACATTACATAATTACTAAGTGACAAAACCTGAAAACACCCCTACATCAAGAGATAAAAGTGAAAAGTACCCTCAGTTTTACCATCTAGGGACATGGCTTTTAGTTCAGTGTGTACGTTTGTGAAGGGAGATTCCAGCAGCAAGGCTGCTGCTAACGGTGCTGGCAGGCGAAGCTGCCTGCTCATGTCGTAAGGGTATGTTCCGCTGTGCTGAGGACTAATTTAGGCGAATTCCAGTGTTTTGCTTTTTTCAGGCACACATCCTTGAGGGTATGTAAGCCCTCATTGCCTTAAGGTGGTTGGTGAGGACAGGTACCCTGTGTGTGGGGCGGAGTTTATAGGAAGGGAACAGTGTGTAGTTGCTGTGTTTGGTATTGGGGAAGAAGGCATGGCAGCTATCCCCAGCGGTCAGTCAGCCAGAGGAAACCTCCAGTATGTTGATGGCACCGTCTAGGCGGGACAGAACCAATCGTCTTGAGAGGAGGCAGGACTGTGGAGGTAGAGGCATTTAGACTGAACCTTGGCATGATTCAAACTTGGAAAGGCAGGGCCTGGCGGGCAGGGGGCCAGCTATTGTGGGGAGGAATAATGACACTGCCTTGAGTGTGTCTCACTGACCCACCTCCCAGGTAACAGTCTTGGTGATGTGCCACACACGGGAGCTAGCCTTTCAGATCAGCAAGGAATATGAGCGCTTCTCCAAGTACATGCCTAGTGTCAAGGTGAGTGCCCTCTGGCCAGCCAGTCACCACGTGGTCTTCTGCAGTTTTGCTGGGCTCAGCTGGGCCCTAGCCCGCGTTTACCAAGCTTGGCTGAAGCTGCTGCCTTTGAGGTTTGTGGTGGTTTATGCTCCTTAAAAGCCTTATGAATTATGCACATCCCCAGAGGCCATGCCAGTCCCAGTCTGGGGGCTGCTGTTCAGTGGAGCCATAGCCAGCTCTCAGGCTGGCCTGTGTCCTGCAGGCCTTCAGTCTCTAGGCAGCAGGCTGAGTGTTGGGGGGGGGGGGTTTGGGTCCATGCTGCCACTCGCACTAGCACCAAGTGGGTGTGAGCCTTCGGCCCCAGGTGAGTGAAAGCAGCGTTTCTCTACCCTCACAGGTGTCTGTGTTCTTCGGAGGCCTCTCCATCAAGAAGGATGAAGAGGTATTGAAGAAGAACTGTCCCCATGTAGTGGTAGGGACTCCGGGCCGAATCCTGGCACTTGTGCGTAACCGGAGTCTCAACCTGAAGAATGTGAAGCACTTTGTGCTGGATGAGTGTGACAAGATGCTGGAGCAGCTGGGTGAGTGTTCACACAGCTTTGTGGGGACCACATAGGCCCCAGCTCTACCTTCTCCACCCTCGCAGCCCCCCACTTAGAGCCAGGTGGGTGAAATGAATGGGGTCACATGGGTGGCTGGCATTTAGACCTGTGAGTGATTTTAGGGAAGGTTCCCGTATTAGCGGACCTGTTGCTTCTGAACTCAAGCTGAGCAGGGTCCCATGTACATGTTACTCCTGGAGTACTGTGGCCTCACTGTTTGCCGAGTTAATTCTAGACACTTGCCTGCCCTCAGTGAGCCCCATAGGCTGGTGGGAGATGGGGCTTATCCTGGGAGGCAGCTGCAGCTCTCACCCCAGCAGCTGTCTCTGCCTCAGGCTGCCCTCCCTGAAGCGTGGCTCGAGGTGCACTGGCACGGCTGCTTCGCTCTGGCAGCGTGTAAGTGGACGGCAGCTCCTCCCGCTTGTGCTGGCCCTGAGTCCAGCCCCTCAGGCACCCTGGACTCACCCCTCCCTCCACTGCTCGGCTCACACCGCCCTCATCATGGTGCCCACGCCTCCCTGGCACAGGTGGGAGGGGCTGGGCCTGGTCTCGGGTGGGGGTCAAGGTCTGGCAGACACTCAAGCTCACCCATTTCTTGCCCTCCTCCCCAGACATGCGGCGGGATGTACAGGAGATCTTCCGCCTTACACCCCATGAGAAGCAGTGCATGATGTTCAGTGCCACCCTCAGCAAAGAGATCCGGCCCGTCTGCAGGAAATTCATGCAAGATGTGAGTAGGGCGAGACAGTGACCGTGACCTTGGTGCAGCAGCTTTGGCCCTCTTGGGTTGGGGGCCTGAGCTCGTGCTGTTCCATGAAACCCACAGACTGGGGGCCCAGCATGGTCTCCACCTGATCTGGACAAGAGCTCAGCCCCAGCCTTTGGGAGAGAAGTTTTCGGGGGGCAGCAGGCCCTCTGGGGAACATCGAAGCTTGGAGTTGCTCCCTGGAAGGTTCTGGGCAGACAGGAGGCCAGGAAGTAAGCCCTGCCTGCCCCTTCCCGCACAGCCCATGGAGGTATTTGTGGATGATGAGACCAAGCTCACCCTACATGGGCTGCAGCAGTACTATGTCAAGCTCAAAGACAGTGAGAAGAACCGCAAACTCTTCGACCTACTGGACGTGCTGGAGTTTAACCAGGTGACTGACACACTTATCTAGCCTGTCTTGGGTTCTTGAGAGGCTGTTGTACAGGGCCTGACTGCCCTCACCCCTTCACCCCCTTGCAGGTGGTGATCTTTGTGAAGTCGGTTCAGCGCTGCATGGCCCTAGCCCAGCTCCTTGTGGAGCAGAACTTCCCAGCCATTGCCATCCACAGGGGCATGGCCCAGGAGGAGCGGTGAGTACACCACCTGCCAGGCCCCAGGCATGCCCCAGAGGGGAGTGACACCAGGAACCTGTGTCTGATGGCTTCCTCTTGTTCTTCCTGCACCCAGGCTGTCACGCTATCAGCAGTTCAAGGACTTCCAGCGGCGGATCCTGGTGGCCACCAATCTGTTTGGCCGAGGGATGGACATTGAACGAGTCAACATCGTTTTCAACTATGACATGCCTGAGGATTCAGACACCTACCTCCATCGGGTGAGTTATCCTGCCTAGCTAGCTTGTCCTTGGGTCTCCAGCTCATGCCTCAGGCCTGACTCTTGTACTTCCACCCTGCAGGTGGCTCGTGCAGGCCGCTTTGGCACCAAAGGCTTGGCCATCACTTTTGTGTCTGATGAGAACGATGCCAAAATCCTCAATGATGTTCAGGACCGGTTTGAAGTGAATGTGGCAGAACTTCCTGAGGAAATCGATATTTCCACATACAGTAAGTAGTCTAGGGAGCCCTGGTGGGGGTGGACCCTGAACGTCAAGGGCCCTGCCTCACTGACCTCCTGTTTGTGTGTCTTACAGTTGAGCAGAGCCGGTAACCATGTGCTGGTGGCCCAGAAATACCTTGCTTCCCACGTGCTTCTTCAGGTCCTCTTTCTAGGCAACAGTGGGGCTTTCTTTTTACTGTTGAAGGCTGTAGATTTGTGTAAGAATAAATTTTTATTATGTATGTCTGGCTCCCACTTCGTGTAATTCTGTCAGCTCTCAACAACCAATGAACAGGATGGGTCTGGTCAGTGACCCCCCCCCCCTCCTCAGCCAGCCAGTCAGCAACACTCCCTTCTGTATTAGTTTGTTTTTTAATTTTTTTAAAAGTGTCAACATGGAAAGGTTTATCATGTAAAAAAAAAAACAAAACAACAAAACGTTATTCAACATCCACAGCTTTCAAAATAGTGAGAACCCTCTGCACTGGGGCAGGTGGGCCTCCGTACCGTTATTTTCAGTCAGTGGCCTGGAGGGGCCTGGCCCTTCTCTCATCCTCAGTCTTAGCTTACTTGGGAAGTTGAGCCTAGCCCCTTAGCTTCTTGTTCTGTAGCAAAGACAGCCCAGGGAAGGGTCTGGCTGCACAGAGCTCTCGAGTCTGTACCAGGGCGAAGGGGCTTCAGCAACTGCACCTGCCCCGACTCAGCCAGGATGGAACAAAAGCAGCCAGAAGCAGGCCCTGCAGGTCCAACCTTCCACACCAGCTGGGTGTTGGGTGCCAGACTACACCTGTCCAGCCTTGGTGGGGGCAGGGCGGCAAAAGGAGCAGTCCAGCATGTGCAAAGCTGCTGAGGCAACAGGAGATACTGCTTGGCCCGGACTCCATCACATGCCAGACTCTGACGGCCTGAGAGCCTAGAGAGAAAGCTGGTAAGGACCCAGAGGGTCTTGGGGTACATTCTCCCCCACTTCAGGCACAGCCCTTACCCGAGTCTGGTTGTGGCTGGAGCCCGACATGGATGTCGTAGCAAACTCTGAGTACTTGTTTCCAGTAACCATGCAGGCCCACTTCCGGTATTCCTCCCTCACCTGTCGACGAGGGTGCCGGGTCAGGGGAGGAGAGGCCAGAGCCTGGGGAGTTCACCGCCCGCAGTCATCCCACTAGCAGCTCACCTTTTTGTTCAGCAGACAGTGCAGCACAAAGAGGAAGAGACCCTGCAGGCAGTTGAGGATAGTGAAAGTGTAGGACAGCAGCCAGCTCTGGGGGTCAAACAGGAACAGTCCAAAGACCCAGGTGCAGCCCAGCACAAAGAGCTGGGCGATGGCCGTGATGGTCAGCACCCTGGGGGAGAAGGGCATGGCGGTAAGTGGACCTGCCTCATAGCCCATCCTCTCCCCTCCACCCCTTTCTGCCCCATGCTGTCACCTAGCTTTCTTCAATTTTTTTATGTCAGGGTTGATGTCAGCAAACTTCTGAGTGAGCTTCCAGACAGTGGTCACGAAGATGACAGCATTGCACTAGGTGGGAGCACAGGATTCATATGAGGGGCCTTTCTTGGAATGCGAGAGAGCTGGTGTGGACCAGCTGGGCTCAGTGAGGGGTGGGGTAGTTACCAAAACAATGAAGGTCACAGGTCCCAGGAAGCTCCAAAGAAAGCCGTGCTCGGGGTTCAGCCAACAGCTGGGTGAGAAGGGATGGACTCCTGTTAGCTCCCCATAATGCCAGCTCAGATCAGAGCCAGAGTAGAGAGCTCTGTACACCTGGTGCCCCATCCTCCCTTGCCCCACTACTCCGCACTCACTAGAGGTCACGGCCGTAGCCCTTGAGATCCAGGGCGGCTGAGATGGCAGCTGAGATGGACACGATGAGCAAGGGCACACCATAGCCAATCAGGTAGAGCCAGTGCTTGCCCAGGCCCTGGCCCTGGAACACCCGCACCACGAGGAAGTAGAGTTCCAGACCCTCTAGGCTCATCCAGCAGAAGGCGGCCAGGAACCAGTAGTGCAGCAGCCCGGCCACCAGGCGGCAGCGCAGCCCCACCTGCAGGATGGGGGCGGGGCACCGAGCTGGTCTTTAAGCCTTCATGGGGCCAGCCAACATGTGGGGGTGGAGTGGGAAAAAAACGGGGAAGTGTGGGCTGGCGCTGGCCCATGGCCCAAGGTGAGAGTGGGGCCTTCCACCTGGCAAGGCCTCACCTGGCCACCTTCATTCTCGATGCCCACTAGGAAGATGGTGGAGCCCACGAAGAGGCAGATGCAGAGGTGCAGGTGCACGGTAGTGCGCGAGCTCTGGATGGGCCGCACCAACAGGAAGGTGAGAATGCACAGTAGCAGGCAGAACACCGACAGCGACAGTCCCACCTTGGTGATCACAGCCAGACTGTGGTCCTGGATGCACGTGGGTGGGGGGAGTTGATTAGTGCCCCTATGCTTTCCAGCCCTCCTTGTCCTCCTGGGGCTTGACCTGCACATCTCTATCAGGCTCTTGCCTCCTCACCCACCACTTCCTTTGTTTCCCATCTGAGCGAGCCTCCTGTCTGTCATCCTAAACACTGGCCCCTTAGACCTATGGGTGCAGCGGGGATCCTCCTTTCTCCAAGCACCTTCTGATGGGGCCTTCCATGGCAACTTTGCTGACCTCCCATACCTGGCCAAACTGTCACCTCTCCAAGTCCATGCTTTTTTTAAGATTTATTTTATTTATGCATATAAGAGCTAGGGTGTAGGCCAGAGGTACAGAGGCATGTGTGTGTGTGAGAGGATTCACAAGAGAAAGTGGGGAGCAGAATAGGTGAATCCACTGAAATACACTGCTAAGGGGGTCTTGGGCAGTACAGGAGAGGTCTGCTGCACAGTGTGGGTCACTCTGGCAGGCCAGGGCTCAAACTCGGGCCATAGCAAGGATAACATGATAGGGCTGAGACTTAACTCCTACACCACCAGGGAGGCCCGAGTCCCACGCCTTTCAGCTTCCTCTCTTCCCTACATGGCCCATTCCAGTTATTCACATCGCTTGGCCTCACTAAAGGCTGAGAGGTCACACACTCAAAGTTGTGCTCCCTCTGTGCTCCAGCAGTCAGAGGCCCTGTTGCAGGCACATTGTTTAGTTGCCGGTCCTAGGGAGGGACAGGAAGGGAGAGCCACTAGGGCATGCAGTCAGACAAGCTCCGAGCAGAGAGTTTGTCCTGCCGCTCGGCACCCGCTGCCTGTCTCAAACCAGCCAACCTGCTACCTGTCTGCTGTTGACGCTGACCCCCCAGGCTGCTTACCTCCACGTCATATTGGGCCATGAGGATAGCAAAGCTGCTTAGGTGGTCGCATTGGCAAGTGGTGCTGCCATTCCTGCTGCCCAGTGTCCGGCAGCCTGTGGTGGCCCAGTACCCGGTCCTGTGGCTGTCATGCTTCCAGAAGGCACAAATCAGCTTCTGCCGTGGTCCAGGTATCTCCTGCTGGCCTAACTCCTGCTGACAGGTGGTGGAGGTGTGAGGATTTACCCTGCAGGCCACTCTTGGGTCCTGAATTCAGGCTGAGCCTGGGGAGAGCAGCTTTTCATTTGGTCAGTATCCACTGAGCACCTACTGTGCCCCTGGCCTGGGGACGCAGCAGTAAGCACAGCAGACATGGGGGAGTAATAAAAGGTGATACGTGCCATTTTTAAAAAAGGAAGCAGCATAGGTGAAAGGTGGAGCATACTTACAGAGGGTAATTTTATGTAAGAGGAAGGTGGCATTTGAACAGACTGGAAAAGGGGTAAAAAGCTGAATCATGTGGGAGAAAAGTCTCCCAGGCAGAGGTCACAGCAGTGCAAAGGCCCTCAAGTAGGCGCGAGGGAGGAGCAGAATGGCAGGTGCGGGGAAAGGAAGGGCCACTCTACCCTGGGTATGGGGTTAGCAATAGGGCTCACCCCACCCCACCCCACCCCAGCTACCTCCCAATAACTTACCAGGTGGGAGAAGGCGAAGGTGACTGGAAAGTCAAGTTTCTCTGTCTTCTCATTGCTCAGGAACACAGAGTTGATGGCTGAAATGAGCCTCGGGTAGGCACCTCTGCGGCTTTTATGAATCATTCTCAGCTCGGCTTCCTCCTCAGGGTCCAGATCCAAGGAGGCGTTGACCAACATTTTCCGCATGTTCGGGCTAGAGAAGATGCCTGCCACAGTGGGACCTGGGGGAGACATGCTAGCTACCTTCTGCCTCCCGCCCCGTGTCCCGTTCTTCCTCCTACGGTGTCTAATTCACAGGCTTGGCCTGTTCCCCATGATGTCTGGACTCCCTCCCAGTGGGTCAGTTTACAGCTGTTACATATTCTGAAGCTCCCCACTAGCCATATCCCAGACCTTGCTTCCTCCCCATCAGACCCCTGCAATTACTTGAGTCTTCAGCTCCAGTAGCCACAGCCCAGTTCAGCAGCATCTTTGCATGGCCCTGTTTCATGGTGACATTTCCATTCCCTGCATCCTTAATCTCCAGGGACAGCACTAAGGGGAGAGAGCAGTGATTGGGGGCTCTGGGTGGAGAACGGAACTCCAGGACTGGGGCAAGAGAGGATGATACCTCACCTGTGTCTGAAGGGTAATCTAAGGTGAAGGATCCTTTAGGCATGTACTTGGCAAGGGTCCTCAGGTTCATCTCTAGGTATGAGAGCAGGTCGGTGGCCTTGCGGTGTCGTTCAGGAAGGGCAAGGGCCTCCAGGTCCCCAGGGTTTTTCAACAGGTCATCCAGTAATCTGATGAAATCCTGGGGGTGATTGTAACAGCCGTTGGATCATTGCTGTCCCTAGGACTCTAAGCTCATCCCTCCATGGGGACACAAGGGAACCACTTGGATTGCCTGGGGGACAGGTTTAGGGGAGTCATCCAGATACTGCAGTAGCCAGAAGGCAAGGGGATTGAGTATGTACACCTTTATTATATGTATAAGTGTTAGGTACACATAACAACAGTGGCGCCTGACACTCATCAGGCCTGTGCCTGGTGTCAGCCTGTCCTAAGTCTGCACTATCAGAAACTTTGAGTTACATGTGGCTATTGAGCACTTGAAAGCTATCCTGCATTGAAATGGCAGTATTTTGCATCTCTTAGGCTTATTTTTATTTTGTTTTAATGCAGCCACTGAAAAATTTTAAAAGACATAAGACGCTCCTGGATTTCTACTGGGTTAAAACTTGTCTCTGATGCTCATATGGGCCAGACACTGTTCTTTGAGCTTTACTTGTGCTAGTTCATTAAATCTTCACAATGACTGTGAAGCAGGCACCACTGCCCAGAGTGGGTGAGTCACTTGCCTGAGGTTGCACAGCAGAAAGTGGCAGCAGGGATGATGAGGTGGGGGTGGGGGGTAAGGGAGTTGGGATTGAGCCCTTGTGGTCTGGCTCCCTATGATTTTTTTCTATAGTGGCTCTGCAGTCATGGATTTGACCAACCGTGGATGATGTTGGCTGGTGCATCCAGAGATGCAGAGCCTTCAGCTACAGAGGCCCACTAGTAAGTCATCTGCTGACTAAGTTATATGTGAATTTTTGACCGTGAGCGAGGTCAGTTCCCCTAACTCCCAGTTTGTTCCAGGGTCAACTGTGTATATACTGTGTGTATATGTGCATATATACTGGGTCTTTGGCTTACCCGTGGCCCATGCTTGGGCTGACCCACCTCACTTTAAAGCATTTCCTGGCCATCCGTACTGTTCTGGGGACCCCTAGGTCCTGCCCTTACCTTGATCGTGTCCTGGACATTGGTTGCGTTGAATTTTCTCTCCAGACCCTGGACTTGTTCAAAGAAATTGGAGAGTCTCTGGGGAGAAAGAAGAGGAGGGGGTCAGAGAACTGTAGGAGTGGGTGGAGGAGTTTGGGGAAAACGGATGTAAAGGGATTCCTGTCCCCTGGCGCTGCCACCCTGCCCCCTGCCGCCCCCACCACTCACCTTGCTCTTGATCTCAGGCAGGGTCATGGTGGGGAAGGTGAACTCTAGAGAACAAACAGGTCATTTTGTTGAGGGGAGGTCTGGGGTCAGGGTAGGTGTGAGTTCTGGGGATGTGGAGGAGGGGGACAGGTCCCTCCCCTATGTGTGCACCACCCCCTTTAGAGAAGTACCACCCCACCCCCCAGCCCTCCCACCCGGCCTCTCTGGATGGGGATGAGCCACGCCCAACTACACATCCATGAGCTGTAGACTCAAAACAGAGGACGTGTGCAGAGGTGACACTCAGCACGTGAGCCCCTTACAGATGGTGAAAATGTTGACTCCAGGGGTGTGTTTCAGGTGGGGACAGATCGCTGGGGAGAGACAGCGGATCTTTAGGTGTGAGACTCCCCGGAGGGAGGGGAGCTAGGTCAGGTGGGACCCGGTACCTTCACAGACGGTGGTGATCTGGTTGTACTGGAATCCCAGTTTGGGCTTCCAGCCCAGGCGGCAGCGGCACTGGTAAGAGCCCAGAGTGTTGAAGCAGACAGAGGAGTTGTGACACTGGTGCTGCCCGGAGCTGCACTCATCCACATCTGGGGACAAGAAGGGGGTCAGGCCCCTCTCCTGTGTGTGCCAAACTCCCTTCTCCCAGCTAAGCGTCCCCACCCACACTGGCTGAAGGCGATGCCACCCGGTGCCCACACATCCCCGATGGTGGCCTGGGCTCATGGGACTGGGGCAGAGACCCCTCAGGCCGCGCCTGAGCCCCATCGGATGTACTGGCTGTGAGCTGCTGAGACAGCCTCATCTCGGGTAACGTCAGCTGCTGGGCCCCTTCCCCTTGGTTCCTTCCCCAGGTCCCCAGCTAGGTCACACGTGATCTCTAAAGCCTGTCGCCCTGCTTGGCGTGTGATCAGGTGGGCTGTGTTCCCGCGAAGGGGGCTCTGGGCTCTGCACCTTCGCAGATGGTGTTGTTTGGGCCACTGGGGGGCCCAGGGACCGGCCTCCAGCCGGGGCGGCAGCGGCACTTGTAAGAGCCCAGAGTGTTGTCGCAGACAGTGGAGCTGTGACACTGGTGTTGCTGGGAGCTGCACTCGTCCACATCTGGGGACAAGAAAGAGGTCAGACCCCTCTCCTGTGTGTGCCCGACTCCCTTTCTCCCAGCTAAGCGTCCCCACCCCCACTGGCTGAAGGCGATGCCAACCAGTGCCCACACATCCCCGATGGTGGCCTGGGCTCATGGGACTGGGGCAGAGGCCCCCTAGGCCCCGCCTGAGCCCCATCGGATGTACTGGCTGGAGCTACTGAGACAGCCTCATCTCGGGTAACGTCAGCTGCTGGGCCCCTTCCCCTTGGTTCCTTCCTCAGGGTCCCCAGCTATGTCACACGTGGTCTCTAAAGCCTGTCGCCCTGCTTGGCGTGTGATCAGGTGGGCTGTGTTCCCGCGAAGGGGGCTCTGGGCCCTGCACCTTCGCAGACGGTGTTGTTTGGGCCATTGGGGGACCCAGGGACCGGCCTCCAGCCGGGGCGGCAGCGGCACTCATAGCCTCCCACGAAGTTGAGGCAGTGGGTGGTCTTGTGGCAGGGGTTCTGCCCGCTGGAACATTCATTCACGTCTGGGGACAAAGCCAGAGGGTCAGGTCTCCACTCACTGCACCAGCTTCTCACTGCCCAGCACCATGGGCACCATCAATTCACTCTCAAAGCATCTTATGGTGTCTCCCCTGCAAGACGAGTGCAGCAGAGACCATGGTCCACAGTTTGTAGGTGGCAAAACCAGGAAGGAAACTGAGTCACGGGGGCTGGACTTCCTGACCAAAGAGTTTGCCTGCTTCTTCCTGAGCCCCAAACCCAGGTTCCCCTTCTGGAAACCAGAAGTGATTCCTCCCTATTTTCACATGAGACATGAGGAAGGGGCAAGGTCTGAGGCTGCTCACAGGGCCAGGCGTCACCACAAGTGAGCCCCAGGCCTAGAAGGCCCTGCCGCTTCTCTGCTCTGTGTTGGGCTCTTTTGGGGAGGTGTGTCCTTCGGCAGCACCCTGGCGGGCCTTGTTCTGCAGGAACCTGAGCATCTTCTCCCTCCTCTGCACAGGACATCAGCTCCATCCCACAGTGTCCTCCAGGGCCTCTACCTGTGCACTGCTTCGGGTCCTTCGGGTTGAGCTCAAAGCCGGGCTGGCACTTGCAGGTGTAGCTGCCCTGGGTGTTGATGCAGATGCTGCGGCTTTTACATATTTTGGGGTTCTGCTTGCATTCTTCCACGTCTGCAAGGGGAAGGAAAAGGTGATAGGCGCCTACGGCTGTGGGCAGCTTTCAGGGCTGGGGTCAGCCACATTTCCTGCCATAGAAACATCCAGAAGTTGCCACTGTTTCCTCAGTGAGTGGTGCCATTTTTAATTCACCTGGAGGCATCCCCTGGGTGAATGTGGTGGCCTAGATGCTCTGCTGTCCAGATGTGGCCTGAAGCAGCCTCAGTCCTCTCTGCCAGGCCCTGGACCCTCAACCTTCCTAGGCAGCTCTGGGTTGGGGCGAACACCTCACAGCCCCTGTGTCCCAGCCTGAAGTTTTGGACGAAGGCCAGAGTGGCTCTTCCTGGGAACTGAGTACAGGAAAAATGCTCACAGATCCTTTAGCTTATGATGATGGTTGAGACTCCCCAGCACACTGCTCACTGCATGACTCCGTCTGGGAGTCCGGTGACCAGATGGGACTGCGCTTTCTCATCCACATTAACTGAGACTCCAGCTCCATGGAGACAGGCAAGACTCTCCCCTCCCTTGAGCCCAGCCCCAGAAGGCTTTCAGGCACAGGCAGGGAAGCGGGTGCAGACTGGGTTGGAGAGCAGGGGCTGATATCCAGTATGAGGGTATGCAGATGTCTTTTGACACCATGAAGGACTCCTCTGGACTACAGGAACTGACAGCCCACCTCTAAGCAAGACCATCCTTGGGTAAGGACTGGGCACTGGAGAGGGGAGCAGGTGCTGCCGGGTGAGGAGTAACAGGCGTTTCTGTCTTCTCAGCCCTTGGTTTCCTAGTAGGGACGCAGGCCCGCTGGCTGAATGGAGCTCACCTTCCATCTTCTGTCCCCAGGTGGTCTGGGCTCCCTCAGGCTGACCTCCTCAGGTGAGGGTTGGGCCGGGGCTGGGCTGTACCCCTCAGTGAAATCCTCTCTCGCCATCTGAGCTGCACAGGAAACTCTTCCATTTACCCAGCTCTCCAAGTGTGTCTGGGGTCCATGTGACCCGAGTCACGGTCACCTGAGCTGCCCTCAGTTCCCCATGATTAGATTGATATCATTGGGCTGGCTTGGGGCAAAATCTTGCGTGGCAGAGATTGAGCAGCCAAGAAATGGGGTCCGGATGCCAGGAGGCATTTTCCTCAGGCAGGTTGCTGGCCAGGAGCAGGACATGGTGGACCCAACCTCAGATCTCAGGCCTGACCTTCCAGATAGGGCCCCTGGGTCCATCTGGTCTGAGGATCTGGAATGACCAAGTCCATGTGGGTTCCGGTGAGGACAGGTCTCACCTCCCACAGTCACTGATGATGGTGAAGTGGATGAATGTGCTGGAACACTTGAGTGCTGCCCTTTTTTGTTTTACACAGGATGGACATAGCAACAGAAGTTACCCTGCATGGAGGGTTCTGACTCTTGGGGTTCAGAGAAGATAGGGAGATCAGAGGTGTCCTCTGATGTCCGAGAAAGTGGGGAGAGGAGCTCAGGGTGTGGCCTAGGTCTCCCGCCTCTAGCAGGCCCCCCTGCTGTGATGGGTAGAGGTGTCCTGGGGATGGCAGCATGGAATGCTGAGGTGGGGGTGGTGCACAGACAGCCCCGCTGTGCCTGTCACAGAGCAAGGGCTCCAGGCGGCAGGCTCTGGTCCTTTGTCCCCCACCTTGAGGAAACATGGGAACCTTTTCCCACCTCGCTCTTGCTCATCCCTGCCTCTGACCAGCAGCCAGGGTCTCCTGCTCTCACACAACACATCTTCAATAATAACCAGCACTACCTGTGCCAGGCACCGGCAGCTCCTCAAGCCCAGACACACGGAGTGGGACCTACAGTCACCATGGTTGGTTGTGACAGTTGCTCAGTGCACAAGGGCATCTAGCAAAGAGGTAAGTGGAGGCTGAAAACAGCCCTCTCTCCGTTCCCTAAACACACTGTTCACCTGGAGCTGGTGACACGCCTTTTGCAATACCTATGAAAACTGTCCTGTGACCAGGCCATATGGATGGGCACCACACCTTTATGCGGGCCTCTGAGGACCAGCAGCACCCAGGAGGGAGCCCTCACACTATGCCTCATGCGGATGCTTCACTCGCTTGCTCTCTGTGTTCTATACTAGCCTCTCTCTGGGAAGTCGTGGCTCCTGCATGCCACCGCAGACCCGTCTGTCCCTCTGGATGCCTGAAACGCCCGCCACTGCCTGTCTGCTCTCCTCAGAAGGGGCCAAGCCTAGTAGTACCTGGAAGCCCAGCTCCTCCTGGGCACAGTTTTGGCAAAGGGTATAGCTGTAGGTTGGGGCTGGGGGTAACACTGAAGCAGCATGGCCCCCAGGAATGCCCATGTTGGAGAGAGTGTAATGATAGTAATTTTAATCTAAAATCCCCAAAATGATAACTGTTTTGTGCTTTGTAATTTTACATATCTCCCCAGTAATTTTGAAGAAAGCACCATTGTCACCTCCCTTTTGCAGATGGGTAAACTGAGGCACAGATTGGCAAAGTAGTATGAAAGTCATAAGTTAACAAACAGCAAAGCTACGTTTGTTTTTGGGCTCTCCCTGGTGGCTTAATGGGTTAAGATGCAGCACTGCAAGCTGGCCGCAGCTGCTTCAGTGTGCGTTCTATCCCAATCCTGGCCCTGGAGGTGATCCATATGGCTTGGCAGACCTCTCCTGACCCGCCCACTGCTCCCCTCAGCAGTGTATTTAGTCGATCTGCCTGTTCTGCTCTCCATTCTGTCTCTGGTGAATTCTCTCACTGCCCCTGCATCTCTGGCCTATACCCCAGTTCTGTATGCATAAATAATAAATCTTACCCCCAAAAGGGATTCTTAAAAAAACCAACATAAAATCACAGCAATGTCACATCTTGTATGTTAGCAGTGATTTCTGAATAGGAGTCCTGGCCAGCATCACACACAGCTATCAGGTGGCCAAGTCAGGGATTGGGTCCTGGGCTCCCATGCCACCTGCCTGTCTGTGCCAGCGGGACGGGCTCAGGCTACACTTGGAATCACCCTCGGCCTGCACCCTGAATGTTGCAAGAACGGTCACGGTGATATCTAACCCTCACAGATGAAGAGATGGAAGACTCGGGGTCACTCTTACCTTGGCACGTGTTCTCACTCTCATTCCTGAATGTTGCTCCCCCAGACACAAGCTCATATCCCGGGATGCATGTGCAGTAGTAGCTCCCATCCGTGTTCTGGCAGTCTGCAAATTTTCCACAGGACACTGTCACTGGTGGTCCACACTCATTGATATCTGGAACACAACAGGCCAAAATGTCACCTCCTAAAGATGTGAGATTCCACAGGACAGAGATCTCCAACCCTACCTGATGCTCCAGCATAGAGCCAGATGCTTAATCAGAAGACAGACTCCGCCCCACAAGGGACTGGATCATGCATCACAATCCCCGTGTACCCCTCCAGCACCCCTCAAGCCTGTACCGTCACAAATCTCCAAGGGGTTGGTGATGAGCTCTCCAGACAAAGAACTGAATCCCGGCAGGCAACGACAGGTGGTGGCGCTGACACACTTGGAGTTCTGAGGGCACCACGGAGCACAGGCTGTGGCTGCAGAGGCCGTAGGACAGAGACCACCATCAGGGTGAGTGAGGGCTGAGGCTGGGGCCCCGAAGGGGCGGTTCATCTCCAGAGGAAGGGCCCTGGGGAGGGTGGTCCTGAGTTTCAGCCTGCCACTGGCTGAGGGGATGTGGGTGGGGGTTAGGGCCCTTCCCCAGGCTCTTGTGTAGCCCGTGTTCCCAGACTCACCCCTGGTCTTCCGGGATCCAGCTTCTGATAGGGTCAGCCTGACACACAGCACTGGAACAGAGGTGGAGGGTCAGGGAGATGCTGGAGCAGGAAGGTCTAAGTGGGTCACATCTGGGGGGCCAGGAGCTGCTAACCTACCAGGCTCATGCCCCCCGCCCCCTTTGCTACAGGAGAGAGTAAGCTGAGCACCTCCTTGGGCTCCAGATGCCAACAAGCCAGGAGTGGGCTGCATGACCTGAGGGATGATCAGGCCGGAGCCAGGAGGGGGCTGGACAGGCAGCAGGTCTGACTCCAGCTGACCTGTGAGCTGAGGAAACAAACTAGCCAGGCAGACACAGATTCACATCCCAGACCCTGGTCAGTTACCTCACTGTTCAGTGCCTCAGTTTCCCCTTCTGTAAAGTGGGGGGGGACGGGGGGCCTACTTTCTAGAGTAGTAAAACATGCAGTACCACCTTGTGTGTCCATTTACTGTCATTTCTTTATGTAAACATGGGGAGACTGGGCCAGGTATTCTTTCAGAGCCCAGCACTAAGGTGCTCTGGGCCACATCCTTTCTCACTTCTCAGGTACACACACCATATCCACATCTGTCAGCCCTATGATGGGCCAGGGACCCAGTGGTGACATTTCGCCCCAGGCTCCTCAGACACAGGAAGACATTGTGGCTTCAAAGTCAGGGTAGTGCCAAACAGGCCCCCCCTTTCCTGCGATTCTACAGTTCAGAGCACCCCACTCCAAAGGCATGTGTTGGGGGACCTTCCCCAAGTCAGCAGGGGTTCTAGAGGGGGCCCTGGGCCAGTCATCAGGGGGACTGAGAGGGAGAAAAAGAGGAGATAAAAATGCAGAGAAGAGAGGTGGAGCATGGGAGGGAGACACAGACAGAGAAATGCGGGAGAGAAGGAGATGCAGAAAGAGAGAATGAAGACAAGAGACAGAGCCAGACAGAGGAACAAGGCAGAAGTGAAGACAGTGATAGAAAGGGATGGGCAGACAGACATGGTGGACAATGGACAGACTCTTAGAGATAAACAGGTAAAGAGGGAAGGCACATTGGGGATGCTGGGGAAGCATTTCAGACCCTGATGATCCAGGGGATCCCCAAAGTGGGGTATGTGTTGGGGAAGAATGGGAATGGAGGCATGGTGGGAATGAGTCACTTCCTGGGCCTCGGGGAGGGATGACTCATGGCCCATCCATGCTGGAGCAGCTCCCAGAGGGACTCTAGAGCCCAGCTGGAGGTGCTGTCAGGGGTGCAGACTGGAGGGTCCCTCGACCACTTAGTTCCTACGTCAGCTTGGGTTCCCCTCAGGCCAGCAGGGCAAAGCCCCCCTCCCGGAAGCCTCAGCCAGGTAAACAGGCTGGAGTGCCTGCTCCTCTCTCTGCGAGGATCCATCTCCTTCCTCTCCGCCACAGAGCTGCCCTAGTTCCCTCCTCACTGGGACTCAGTTCCTCTTTGCAGGACAGACCACAGAATGGCCGTCCATGGCAGGATGGGACCTGGGCTGATTTGGGCCCAGCTCCCAAAGTTCCAAATAGCAACTTTCGTGCTCTGAACAGCCCTGGCTACGTCCAGTCTGCATATGGACAACCTGAATCTGGGGGCCCAGAAAAGTTTCAGAGAGAACTGGTGAGCAGTGAAGGGGCTCGAGAAGGGGAAATTGAAATCTCAAGGTCCCCAGACTGAGGAGGCGCTCATTCCCTCAGCCTGGACCGGGCTGGGTTCTACCACCCCCTAGCCCTGCACTGCGCCTTCTCCATCTGGGGCCTTGGAAATGACCCAAACAGGAGCTGGGAGAGAAGTTGTTTGCTGTTCATGTGCTCCCAGTCCATCTGGTTTGCATTTCCCCCGCAGTCCTGAGCTTTTGGATTCTTGCTTAGGGACCCTGTGTGGGGGTGGGGCTGCCACCTTGTTTGCTTCTCCAGCCCATCCCAGACCTGCCAGTGTACTACCCAGCAGGAAATAATCGTGACAACAACAATGATAATCCTGTTTGCTTAATTCTTACAGTGAGCCAGGAATAGTTTGTCTCTGAACACACTCAACACTTAACACGGCTCTAAAAAGTGGAGACAAGTCTGACTCCACCCATGTGGAAAGTGAGGTTCAGGGCTCTATGACAGTTTCAGTGCCACATGGCCCCCCATCACATGTGCCTTTTGGACCCCTGAGAAGGGGCCAGTGGCTGGGAGTTACCCAGAGTTCTTGCCTGTCATCCTGGGCTGATACAGGGAATCCCCACCCCTGTGGTCGGGGGCAGGTCCCGGTGGCACTCCAGTGCCATGTCTGCATTCTCTTTGTTGCCTGGTTGCTTGGGCAACAAGTTGTCCTGATAACCATGAACCGTTAGAGCCACGCTGGGTGTGGCAGAAGCACATGAACAGGGAAGTCACAGCAAAGGCAAATTCAAAGCTGTACCCGGCAAAATCCCTTCACCCACAGCTGAGTCCTGCCCCGTGTGAGATCAAGAATGGAGTCTCTGGGGCTTCCCCTGCCATCGAGGCAACAGGGGACAAGTTGGGGGAACCCCACAATGGAGGTTCTATCCTCCAGCCCCCTTGGCATGCCCTTTGCCCTCCATTTAAAGCAGACGATTCAGGGTCCTGGGACACCCTTTTTGCCTGCTTTCCTTCCCCTGTGGCTTCCTCCACCCTGAGCCCAGAGCTGCCAGCAGATCCATATCTCCAAGGTGGAGGGTGCAGTCTAGAACCAAAGAGAGACCCCCAAAGCTCTCACCAAGAAGAACGAGGAAGACACTGTTGTGGCGGGAGCCTTCCATGGTCTGAGTTGCTGGCACGAGAAGCAGAGGACGGGGCAGGACCGGCAGTCTCTGTAGCTGGGCAGCTGCGCCGTGTCCCCAGGCTGCCTGGCCTTTATGAAGTGGGGGCGGGGGAAACAGCCTCGGCCCAGGGCCCTCCCCGGAACTGGCAGGGCAGCTGAAAGCCAACAGGAAAGTGCAGTAAAACACAGACCCAGAGGCGCTATGAGCAGCCGCGTGTGCATGCACACACACGCACACACACACGCACGCACACTCATGCACACTGCAACCTGCTTTCAGATCCTCTGCCCTGAGTTCCTCCACTTCAACTACTGACAAATATTTTGTGCACAGAAAGCCGTATCCCAGGGAAAAGTGGGCATCAAGACAGGGTGGTCAGGGGGAGTCCTGTCCAGCACTCTGGGTGGGCTGGGTACTGGAGAGAGGCGGTGTCAGAAAGCGCCCAGGGCTCCCCTTCCTGGCCTGGGCACACCAGATTCTCTAGGGCCAGCATCTGTGCTAACAGTCTCGTCTTCCTGTTTTTCAGATGAAGAAACTGAGGCACAGAGAACCAAATAGGAGTTGGAGGGCAGCAAAGAGACCCTTCACAGGTGCGGCCAGGCAGGCTTTGGAGCCCTGGGGCCACCGCACTTCTGGAGTTGGCTTTTTGAGCCAACGGTCCGGCTGGTGGTACGCTTATCTCAGGGGCTCATGGACACTGCCTTGATCAACAGAGAATCACATGAGGAGCTGTTTCCATTTCCAATAAGTCATGTGATTGGCTTGTCTCTGGGGCCATCTAATAATTTTTTAAAACGCTATAACATATAAAGCGCTTAATCCAAGCCAGGTCTGAGTCTAGGCGCTTTGTCTAGACTGTGGCTCGGGGAGGGCGCTGCCACAGATCCCACCCTGCAGAGGGGGACGAGGCCCAGCGAGCAAGCCGCCCAGCCGAGACCCACGGGCAGCCAGCAGGTCCAGGAGCCAGTCTCTGGGGGGCTGCTGTGTCTTGAACAGCCAGCTGGCCCTCAAGTTTCGCTGGGAATGGTATCCTGCTAGGAGCCAAAAACCGTTTTTTATCTTTCTGTGTTATTTATTTTCAGTTTATGGAACTCTTCAGTTTCCTTTTTTAATAAATAGATTCAAGGATGAAAAATTGTTGAAAATTGAAGAAAACATGAAGTTCAAAGGGGGAGGATTCTGGAGAAAAGGTCACTGATGATTTTGTGTGAAATCTGAGGAACATTAGCTCAGAGGTGGTTGAATACCCCCACTCTGGGAAGTGACCATGACCTGTCCACTCCTGTCCCTTTGTCCTGGACGGCTCATGCACAGGCTCCAGCGGAGGGAGGGGGCGAGGGACCTGGGGAGGAGGCTGGAGGGGAGGGGATCAGACTGGCCCCGAAGTGGGATTTTGGCTTTCTTCCCAGAAAGCTGGAAGCCCCAGGGCTCAATGTTCTCTTCCCATAGGTCCCTCAGTCAGGCTGTTGGTGCCAGGGAAACTGGGACATGGGGTTCAAGCCTGGGTGAGGGTTTCTAACCTGGAGGAGGGAGCTGGAGCCTCGGGCAGGAGGGAGGCGCTGCCCGGGGCACTGTTCCCACACCCGGCCATCAATATTATTTCTTGTGCCCTTTCCCTGGGGTGTGTCTGTGGCCCTTGGAGCAGATCCTTAAGACAGTTTTCCTGTCTGGTCATTATGATACTGCCCATCGACCTCCTAGAGTCCAGCAAGGAAGGAATGGGGAAATACCTGCTGGACCCCATGGGGGAGACATGTGACACAGCCCTCTCCATGAAGCTGTGTTTTCAACAAATCCTGCAGCCCTGCATTGAAAGAGTTAACCCTCCCATTTCTCAGCAACCCCACCCTGGTCTAACACCTGTCATCTCCTGCCTTGGTGCCCTTTGCTCGTCCTGCCCCATCTCTGACACTGCTTGTCTCAAAGTGGCCCAAGATGCCGCAGCATCAGCGCCCACCTGGTCTCTGCTCAAGGATCCTCTATGGCGCCAGCCTCACTCAGGGTAAAGCACCAAGTCCTCCCACAGCCCAAAAGCCCTGCACACTCTGTTCCTCACCTCCTGTCCTCACCTTCTCCTTCCTCACCGTCACACTTGGCTGCAGTTTCTAGATTGCAGACAGACCTCAGGGCATTTGCACAGGCAGCTGCCTCTGCCTGGAACAGTCTGGCTCTGGTAACCTCACAGCTCCCTCACTTTTCTCTTTAGTTTTTGCTCAAACATTCCCTGACCTATACCTTGATCTGAAATGGAAGCACCTCCATTCTCAGCACCCCCATTTTCCTCCATCATCTGTAGCATGTCACCATCCCCCTCCCATCATGGAATTTACCCACTTACCTTGCTGGCTGGCAGCCCCCACCCCAAGACTGCCAGCTGGCTTGGGTCTGTCTTGTGTCCCTGCAGCACCAGAATAGAGCCTGAACACAGAAGGGGCCCATGGTTTGGAACAGCACCCGCCCTGGCCACTGCCCACGTGAAGGGAACACGTCTTGCCCAACTGGAGTGTCAGCACGGGTCCTTTCCTTCCCTCTGCCTTGAGTTCCAGCGCTGCTGACCTATTTGGCAGTCCCTGCACAACGTCACGACCTCTGCTCCCCAACTGTGTGAGGCAAGGATCTGAGTTCCCATTAGTCAGATGGGAAACCAGCAGTTGGGGGTTACGCCACTGGCCTGAGGGTCCTCAGCTGAAAAGTAGCTGAGCCGGAAGTAGTCAACTAGCTGTAATGATAGTGTTATTTATTATATTACATCATTTATTACTTTTGAAACTATAGCTACAGCAATAACAAATCACTATGGTAGATAATTTTACTTATCTCATACCTACTCTGTCTGGCCTTCTAAGCACCTCACAGGGATAAAACCCACTAATCTTGCCAGTAGCCACCGGAGACAGGAGCTGTGATTCCCATTTGACAGGGTGAAACTCAGACCCAGAGTGGTGAAATACCTTACAAAGTCACAGGGCACCCCACCTCTGATCAGAGGGCCTGGGTAAGCCCCACCTGCTCCCTTCTTGGCTGTGTGGCTTGGGTCAGGCCCTCTCTGGGTCTCAGTTTCCCCAAGTGTGAAATGGTCCGAAACTGTAATACCCCAGTGAGGATCGCAAGGCAGGACTGAATTGCAGGGAACAGAAGCAGCTGTTAGGGTGATCCCCTCCTCTATTCTCTTACCTTCACAGTGAGGAGGGGGACAAGGGCACCCCATGTCCTGCCCCTCCCCCTGCTTCCTGTGCACCAGTCCATGCCCAGCCATTTCACAGGCATGGGCTGAAGCGGGGGGTCAGATGGGGTCTTTGGGTGGAGGGGGTATAACAGGAAGCCCCCTGCTTGGGAGACAATGGTAAAGGAAGGGGCCGGGCCAGCCCCTGTGCGGATGAGCCCAGCTGCGGCTCCAGGAGGGCGGCGCAGCTATTGTGAGTCCAGACAGCTGTCCCTGAGCCAGGAAGCCCAGAGAGTGAGCAAAGAGGGTGGGAGGCTGAGGCCAGCCCTGACCCTCAACTTTGGGGCCTGTGTGACAATAGAAACTTTGTCTCCTCCTTCAGGCTGGACCCCTGGCTTGCCCCCTAGGCCAGGGCCTTAGGGTCCATCTAACCACAGGCTTCTGGCTTAGACTGTGCCCAACCCTAGCTGACACTCTCCTAGTCCCCACCTCCTGCCCTGGCCCAGCCCAGCCTGGGAGTTGGGAAGCTGGAGGGAGTTGTGCCGTATTTATAGATCCCGGGCACTGTAGTTGAGCAAACTCCTAAATATAGAAGCCAAGCTATTTGGGGCCTTGGCCCTGGGGCAGAGTGGGGGCAGCACCCCACGTGGGTACCTCCCTGGCGTAGGCCCCCAAGTCTTCTCAGACCTCTCAGTCCCCTGGGAGCGGGGCTGGGAGGCCCTTGGGGTAGGGGAAGTATGTTTACTTAAATGCAGTATATAGAGAGATTGGATGGGGGAGTCCAGAGCAGATGAGGGGAAGTAAGAGGCTGTGATGTCTCAGGCTCACCATCTGGGCCCAAGGCTTGTGTTTCATGGACTGTTGGGGTCCCTCTGCCTCCTTCAGCCCATGACTGACTGTGGTAAGAAAAGCGGGTTGGTGGTGGGATGGCACTGGAGCAGGGAAGGTGCCCTATGGAACATGGTGGATGACAGCTGGGCACCAGGTGTGGGGAGGGTGTGAAAATTTACATTGTAGAGGTTTGAGCCTGTAACCATGGGGGCAGCTACAGTGATGTAAAGCGCTTTACTTTAATAGACATACTTGTGGGTGGGGGGAAAGAGTGTTGAGGTGACACCTCAGCTTCTAGGAAAGGAAGGTTTTCAGGAAATTGCAGGGGCACCCCAAACCCCAAACAAACTCTTTGCCTAGCAACCCACTTCCCCTTCTCCATGAGCTCACTGATTGGGGAATGGGGAAGGGGTGGTGACATGGACTGGGGGGGGTTGGGTGGGGCTATATATAGCCAGTTTATAAGCAGCTAGAGACAGCTGGGTAAGGGTGACTAGCGTGGAAAGGTCTGGCCCCCACAGACAGCTGGACCCCAAAATGCCCCTCCTAGCTATCCCCAAGATTTGAGGAAATAAGGGGGAAAGAGTTGCTTTAAAGGGAGCTATACCCATAATTATATAAGACAGCACATTAATGGGATTGTCATTAAGACTTTAAGGGACTGTCGGTTTTTCTCAGCACCATCTGGATACAGGGATTGGAATACTAAAGAGCTGTGAAAAAGCAGTCTACCCACACCCACCCCCCCACCCCACCGCCTGTCTGCTGCTCAGGCCAGTGCATTGGGAGGGCGGGGTCTCCTCCTTGGCAACACACTTGTTTATTCATTTTAGAATTTGAGTGAAGTGCAAAAAAAAATCACAGTTTGCAACTTGTCAGATCAGACAGAACCCCCAGTCTCCCCCCGACACACCTTAAGTAGTTATAATTAACAAACAGAAACGTCTTATGTTTGCAGTCTACAACTTGGTGATCTGGTTTTAGTGGAATCTTGAACAAAGAAAAGAAGACTCCAAAACCCCACACAAAAGCCATTCTTGTCCTAAAGCTCAGACATGGAGAAAACAAAC